CTGAGGACTGAAGTTATTCTAAGCTTATCAACATTTTAGAAACAGAACTTACTTTACATGGTGTGAATCTCCTGGAGTACTATTAGAGCAGGGAGAGTCTGAAGTAATTCAGATGATTTCTTATTATGGTTCTAACCAAATGAAGAATTTGGAGGTTGTGGAAATAATCATCTGGGTTTTTTGCCTGTTTTTTTTTTTTTTTTTAAGATTTTATTTATTTATTTGAGAGAGAGAGAGAGAGCATGAGAGGGGGGAGAGTCAGAGGGAGAAGCAGACTCCCTGCTGAGCAGGGAGCCTGATGCGGGACTTGATCGCGGGACTCCAGGATCATGACCTGAGCCGAAGGCAGCCGCTTAACCAACTGAGCCACCCAGGCGCCCCTTATTAAGTTTTCCTGAGAAGCTTTGTTCCTTATTACAAAAATGATAGCAGTATTATAGGTACCCCATTCCTTTGGAAAGAACTTGAAATTCTCAATAGAAACAGTAAGAATTTCCATGTTAGCCCCCCATTTTCTCCCCCACAATAAAGAACCACTTTCCCCACTCCTTCTATGAAGCTGCTGGTGTTAAAAAAGAACAAGGAGAGGATCCTTTAATGATAACCACTAAGCACCAAATACATTCTTGTTTTACATCTGGAGTTTTAGAAAGGAAATGTACAAAGGTAATCCAGCCCTGTAAAGTGCTTTGTCAACATCACTGCCACGTTATTCTTGAGGTGCCTTGGTATAATGGAATTCGTACAGGCATTTTATCTTCGGCTTGTCATTTTTGTGTGTGGGTCTGCACCCTAAACATGGGCACATTCTACCAGTCTCCTGATGATATTCTTTTCCCCCCAGTTGATAACCCAGAGGTTAACTTAGGCCATTTTTTTTCTCCATTTGCCTACTTTACGCCTTTATTTAATAGCAGTGTCTACTGTGTCGTGGTGAAGGATTCTGGTGTAGTTTGCTTGGCATTTGAGAGCACATCCGCTAATAGCCCCAGAAGCACCCTCCACAGAGCATCTGTCGTTGGTTAAAAACTTGCAAGCAAGAATGGTGACGATACAGATGCTTTCTCGAGGCTTCTTATCTCTTAAAAAGACACAGGTTATTCTGACAGGTGAAACAAGTCCGGGCAAATATGCAACATTGATCTAATCAGCAGGAACGAGAGCAATATTTTCACTGGTGCTGCCTTTTACCATCGTCATTAAAGGCTCCCATTACTCTTTTGTTAGAGATTCCCTCTCTTCCTTATCAGATTACAGAATGAACATAACTCACAGCAGTGATTTGATCTCTTGTTAAAGAGGATTACAGCTTTTCATTAACTCGGATTGACACAGTTTATAATTCGCTTGTTGATACTCTGGTGGGCGGCATCACGTTTGACCCCCCAGCAGTGCTGAGGGGAAAGGACCCCCATATATCATCATTAAAGATGGCGTCCAGCACAGAGATAGGAGGCATGGGGCCTTCCTCCTCCGGTAATGTCAGAAAGGACAAAGGAAACATTCTCAAGTTCAAAGCTGAGACGTGGGCCAGGGTTTTAAAACTGGATTAGGAACTGTGATTGTTTTCTTCTGTTTTTCCTGATTCGCTGCTGTTCGGTCTTATACAATTCTAGTGAATTTGCATTCTCAAATTGAAGCCTTGGTTCCAAGCAGGATGTAGAGTGATAAAAACGCATCTTCTAGAAAGAGGTTGTAGATGTTGAACAGATAAATCTTTCCTCAAAATGGGGCTTCTTGACTACAGTTCTCATTTCGGTTAAATTCCTATCATTTCTTCAAAGGATTGTGAATCCTTTTTTTTCCCCCAAAGGGATCTTTCACATTCTTTAAAGTGGATATGAATGTTTCTCTTAAGGACTTATTGTTTTTAAGTTCTGGCATTTTATTATTACTGTCTTTTAAAATACAGTATCTTATAATATTGTATTAATCACAGCTTGCAAGTGGGTAGGCAATAGCTAAATGTTTTTCACCTTAATTTAGATTAAGTCCTACATTTCCCACAATGATCACTGAGCCAACGTTAGGTTGCTAAGGTATGTAGACCATTTCTGTTTCTAAGTACATTCATCCTGTGCTGTTATCTGCCCTTAGTCTGCTACCCTGTTTCTGATTGGCAATGAAATGACACAGAGTAATAACATCATATTCCACTTACTATGTGCCAGACACTGCATTAAGCCCTTCATGTACCTTTTCATTCAGTCCTTAAAAGAAACCACTGAAGTGCTTGACATTGTCTGCCTTTTATAAGAATACTGAGGCGGGGCACCTGGGTGGCTCAGTTGGTTAAGCGACTGCCTTCGGCTCAGGTCATGATCCTGGAGTCCCGGGATCGAGTCCCGCATCGGGCTCCCTGCTCGGCAGGGAGTCTGCTTCCCCCTCTGACCCTCCTCCCTCTCATGCTCTCTGTCTCTCATTCTCTCTCTCTCAAATAAATAAATAAAATCTTAAAAAAAAAAAAAAAAAGAATACTGAGGCATAGGGGCGCCTGGCTGGTTCAGCCAGCAGAGCATGTGACTCTTGATCTTGGGGTTGTGAGTTCGAGCCCTATATTGGGTGTGGAACCTCCTTCTAAAAAAAAAAAAAAAAAAGGGGGGGGCACCTGGGTGGCTTAGTCAGTTGGGCATCTGCCTTCGGCTCAGGTCATGATCCTGGGGCCCTGGGTTCAAGCGCTGAGTTGGGCTCCCTGCTTAGCAGGGTGTCTGCTTCTCTCTCTCCTCCCCGCTCATGCTGTTTGTCGCTATCTCTGTCTCTCTCTCTCTCAAATAAATAAATAAGATCTTTAAAAAAATGAAAAAGAATATTGAGGCATAGAGCTATTAAGTGACTGGCCCAAGTTAAATAGCAAGTAAGTAGTTGAGCTGGTCTGTGCATTTAGGAATGTGAATTCAAACCTGCTGTTATTTCCAGGGCATCAGCAAGCTTTTAGAAATGTTTGGGAATGATGTGCCAGAGGGAAGCTGCTTCTCCCCATCCTCAATATACATATAAGAACCTTTCTCTCAATTTAAAACTTGTTTGGGGATGGGCGGGGGAGACTTGTTTGGATTAAAATGATTTTTTCTTTTCCTTTTTTTCTTTTAAAATAGAGATGCTTTGGGGTGGGCGGGGAGTGCCTAACAAGTCATTCACATCTTAGTATGAATCACTTAATTTCCAGACCTGCTCTTATGCTTATAGCATTCTGGTTACAAAGACCCTAAATCTTATAATCAGCTTTGAAACCTGAGTTAGAGTATTCAGTCACCTTGCCCTTACAGTTCTACATCTTCCATATTCGGGTGCTTGTCACCTACTTTCCTTAGGACAATCTTTTTTTTTTTTCCTGTAATAAAGACAATACATGTGTATGGAAGAAAATTTGGAAATACAGAAAGAAAACTTCATCTGTTATGTGCTAATGAGAGTTGAACATTAATACTTTTATAGGTTTTCTTGCAGAATTTTTTGTGTATGTGTTTTATAAAGATATGCATATATGTTTGAATCCCTTTTTCTGGTTAACTTTGTATGCATTTTAACGCCATTAAGTTTTTAAAAGACATTATAATATAATATCCAATTATGAAATACTGTTGGACACTTAGGTTTCTGATTATTTTTATTTCTCTTTAAGTAATACTGCAGTGAACATATTTGTACAGAAATCTATATTTTAAGTCTTGCTGTGTCTTTAGAATAGATTCTTAGAAGGCTAATTCTTGGGTCAAAGGTGTAACTTTCTAATGATTCTTGATAGATCATACTAATTTACATGCCCCTGCTCCCTTACCAGTGAGGTTTGTCATTACGCCTTTGGTAATATGGAGGGTTATGTTTTAAAAGTATTTTCTATTTTGATTTGCTAAAAGTTATTTATTTTTTATAAGTTGATAACAAGTGACACTTTATGGACCTACACTGTGTTAGGCACTGAATTAAATAATTAATGTTTATTTTCTCATTTAATAGTAAACTTGAAGAGTCTGTGTATTTATTAATCATTCATACTCCTGCTTTATCCTTTCATTATTTTTCTTTTGGGTTTTAGTTTTTCTTTGCCATTTGTATGAATTCTGTCTGTTATGGTTATATACTATATTTCATATTTTTTGCAGATTTTTTCTTATTTTGCTCACCTGTTGATAATATGTTCAGTGGCCTCTACTGTCCGTCTCTGTCTCTTTTTGAGTCAGACTTTTTTTTATACTTCCCACATGGACTATTGTACCAACAGTCTCTTAACCACCCTGTCTGATCTAATCAGGGCTGTGTGTCTTGCCAGATGAGACCTTCCTAGTATACCGCGTGGAGCATGCAAGTCCTCGTTGCCTATAGAATCGAACAGGTACTCTTGACCCTGGCCTTCAAGGCCTTGCTCCCTTTCTCCCCTCATCACGTTTCAGTATGTACACCCTTGTGCTGTCCCCACAATACCCCCCCACCTCCAACCACTCCTTGCACTCCTGTCTCTTCATTCTGTTCGCTTAACCCGGAGCATCTCTTCACCCCTTCCCCACCTTGGTCCCTGCCCATTGGGATGTTCATAGTCTTTGACCAACACCAGCCTTTCCAGGGAGACTTATGATCCCCCTTCCACACTGAGCTGGGGGGCTTGATCTTCCTTGAACCCCTACTAACCCCTACTTTATTTGTTCTTTAATGCTATTTATTACAGCTCACAAAAGCACTTGATAGGGGTTTTCTTCTTGCTTAGAACACTTGGGTGCCTGGCTGGCTCAGTCGAAGAGCATGCGACTCTTGATCTCAGGGTTGTGAGTTCGAGCCTCATGTTGGGTGTAGAGATCACTTAAATAAGTAAACTTTAGAAAAAAAGAAGAAAAAAGAATGCTTAACTTGTAAATCAAAGTAGTGTGCATATGTTTACTGTAATCTTGTATTTGGTTTTGTATCAAAGTTCTATGCTCATACATTTGGAATAATATATTTTGATTCCAGTTTTTATTTTTAATTTTTTTTTTAAGATTTTATTTATTTATTTATTTATTTGACAGGGAGAGAGAGAGAGAGACAGCGAAAGAGGGAACACAAGCAAGGGGAGTGGGAGAGGAAGAAGCAGGCCTCCCGTGGAGCAGGGAGGCCGATGTGGAGCTCCATCCCAGGACCCTGGGATCATGACCTGAGCCAAAGGCAGATGCTTAACAACTGAGCCACCTAGGCGCCCCTTGATTCCAGTTTTATCTTGACTTATTGTATAACATTTTTGTAGCACAGGTATTATTTGCAAAGCCATATAATGTCTTTTCCCAGTTGATGTCAGCCTCTCCAAGCTAGAGAACTAATGCAGGAGGACACCTGAGCATGTTTTGCCCCCGCGCTCATGCGGCATGACCCAGAGGAGGCTTCCCTCTGTGGCTTCGTCTCCTTCTTGACAAAGCCAAAATAGTCCTTGCTCATGAGAGTCTTGAGAACGAAATGTTCTTTTAAATTTTTTGTTTCTGAGAAGGACTATTTTAAATGTAATCTGTACAATTACCTAAATAAAGAAAATGTATGTTTTCAAGTGGGTAAATATTGTATCGTCCTTTTACCTGCAGCACAAACATATCCATTTCTGTGCAAACCTGAAAAAAGTTGGCTGTAGGTCTCCCGTCTGAAATGCCTTTAATAAGGCTTTCAGCTTAAAAGTCTGTTTACAATTTGCTGGTAGGACTATTTTTGCAAACAGTCCTATAAGACAGGTGAACAAACATTTTTGCCTCTTTTACCGAAATCTCCAAATCCTCTAACTCCTTTAATATCCTTTCCCTGGCTCCCCTAGCACTTCGTACCTGTCCAGATGGCATACTGCATTCGCGTCCCCCTCCCAGCAGCGCCCCCACCCCCCGGTCGTGCCCCTAGTTAGCTGTGGGTTCTGTCTCCAAGCCAAAACACAACACTTGAGCGTCAGCTCTGTATTTTGTTCTTAACTCTTGGCCGTGTTGGAAGATCCCCAGAAATGAAGAGTCCAGCTCTGGGACTTCTCGTTCCCAGCCCTTAGAGAGTTTTTGAAGTCATTTATATGGAGGATGAACCTTGGGGAAAGATCTTTCAAGAACACTCTTGTATTTCTATCACTTCCAATAGCACACACCATGAACTTTGTATTCTGTAGGAGGTTTCCTCCTGTCCATCTTGGCTGTGGGATCTACACGGGGTTTGGTTTCTGGTGGCCCTCCTACAAATTATTAGTTACTATGGAAACATGGAGAATATAGACAGAGCTTTGTGATGACCAGTTACAGCTTTAGGTCAGTTTTTTGGACTGCTTTCGGATTTGTTTGGCTTAAGAAGAAAACAGTGTGGAATGGATTCTGGACCTGCATTAGCAAGGCATAACAGTCCCTGGTTACCTTTTGTTATTTTTAGTGTTGGTAGTAAGTGTCAAACCAAAAACGGATATTTAGATAAGGGGCATTGCCTCATTGTACTTTGAGTTCAAGGTGCTGGGAAGCGCTGCATTTGTAACGGGAAGCTATTACTAACTACCCTGGAAATGAGGTCTTGAATGAGCCATAACCACACCTTGTGTTTTATCCATTGTCTCCCTCTGGGGAGCAGAACACTTTATAAACATTAACTCTTTTGCCCTCTGGGCACCTCCACTTAAAAGGTAAATAAGACTGAAGGCTCTTTCTTCTCCCATATAGATGAGGCAGCGTCAGCCCAGTGAGGGAAATTACTTGATCGAAGGCACGGGAGGAGTTAGTGGCCCGAGGTGTTTGGAGTCCCAGCAGTGGACCTGGACAGCGTGGTGGCCGCTGACACCCAGGGGCCTGCCGCTCTATGTGGTTCCCCTTTCTGCTTCTCAGCCTGGTGGGGGTTGGGCCTTTGTCTCACGTGGAATGTGAAATGCTGCAGAGACGCGCAATTGTTCTTCAGCGTTTTGTGCTCCTTTATAAGAAAGAAGAAATCGATACACATTTTCTCCTACACGCACTTGGCAGCACTCCGTCTCCTCACCTACCTCCCAGTCCTACCAGGAGGCACAGCTATGCAACGGAACAGATCCCCCCCAGCTGCCAGGGGCAGAGATGCAAACTACTCATTTTGCACTTAGCAGTGAGGCTTTTTAAACCGAGTCTTCTAGCTGGCCAGGGTCATCAAACTGCTGGCTTCAGCAGCTGGTTGGTGACCCAGGTTGGGGGAGATGCCCTGTTGTGGACACCCGGAGGCTGCGGGGCCCCGGTTGCTACTCCTGGGGAAAGTTGACGTGGCAGATGTCTGGGACAAGCCTTTTTTTTCCCCAAATTGCCGATTTACAGAGAAGAGGAAGAAGTTCTTTGAAGGATCCTACTAAAAATCAAAGAAGATTGACAGATGGAAGGCATCAGTTTTCATTCTATCAATTAATATAAGTAAACTGTCCAAGCCAGAGCTCTGTCTCAGGGTGTATTTTATTTTTTAATCAGAAAATGTGATACCGATACCCGTAACTTCGGAGCTTCCTGCCATTAAGCACCTAAGTGTGGGACGTGAATGACAGAGAATTTGCTGCCATTATTAACAGACAGCCAGTTCAGGTGACAGCCAGCGTAGCCTTGCAGGGCCAGGGGCACAGTGCCTAGGTGAGGGCGTTGGAGCCCGGCCTGGAGATTGTTAGAGCTGAGAGCATGGATGAGGTTGCCAGGGGAGGGTGGGAGAGGCAAGAGAGGAGGGCCAAGAACAGAAGCAGGGAGAAGGTCTACACTCCTAGCCAGGAGGAATATGAAAAAGACGAAGAGGGAGGAGGAGCAAAGGAGACCACAAGATCCTTTCACCCCAGGGCGGAGAGTGTCGGGACTTGGGGGTCAGCAGCTAGGAGCCTGGCCCTGAGGGCCCCGCTGGTGCCTTCCACCCTGCCCTCAGGACAGCATCGGTGGGGTTGGTGCCGGGCGTTTGTGTGCTCTGTGGTTGCTGCTTTTGTTTGGAGTGGTCCTGGGCTCCTAGTTAAACGAGTCCTCCCGCTGATTTCCAGGAGTACTAGAAAGCCTTGCTGAAACTCTGTGGGTTGCCAGCAAACACACTCACTAATTTCCGTGTGTTCTGACCCCCAAAAGTAGGAGTTAAACTGGAGCTGAGAGATGCAGCACATGCCGCCCCCCAGGCCCTGGGTCGCTGGGCAGCAGCCTTGATAGGGACACAAACGTAACTCGCGTGTCAGTCTCCCCTTCAGTGCAGCCGGAGGAAGTGAGTCACATCTAAGCAGTGAAGCATCCCCGGGCTTTTAACAGGAGCTGTGAGAGGAGCTGCTGTTTGAACAAGGAGCTTCATCTTCCTGAAGCCAGCAGTCACCAAACCGTAAACACAACACCGGCCAACTCTATTGCCAGGATCGCGGGGGCCTGCCGTTAATATTAAACATCTCCAGCAAGGCAGAGAGCTCTGCAGCCCAGCCACAGAATAAAAATAAATAAAAATAAAGAGAAAACCCTGCTAAAAGCGGTGAGATGATTTGTCGTCTTTCCTGAGCGAGGCCATTTGTCTTCTCTCGCATCAAATCTGTTATAAAACAGTCAAACTGTGAAAGTGGAAATCATCCCAGGAATATGGAATATTAATGCACAGGAAAGGAGGCCACGTCCCTTTTGTCTAGAGTGCCAGTGTCGTCCCCCACCCCCGGCCACTACGACCTTTTTTTTTTTTTGCTAATCCACCAAGGTAAATTATTTTTCTTTAGAAGAATTTGGGAGACTCAAAGCTAGCAGTAGGGATGACAGAAGTTTCAAATATTTTTCGTCCTTGTTCAAGCAAAGTGAGCGTAGCTGACTTGGGAACCAGGAAGGAGCTCGAGCGAGGAACCCTGTGCCAATTCGGCCCTCATTCTGTCTCTCCCTGGCCGTCTTCCCTCTCCTTCCTTTCCCGAGCCTTTCAGTTCCTTTGTTTGGGCCCTCAGCCTGCTTCTCTGAACATTTATAAATCTCAAGTCTGTCTGATCTTTGGGAGTCAGGCCAGAGGCCACGTGTCACCATCTGTAATTTAAAGCTGCAGGGCTAAAAGCATTTGCAGAGGTTTGAAGGACCTAGTTCTGACCCGACCAAAAGAGTGAATTGGAACAGACCTTCTAGAGTCTCCTTCAAGCACGGGGAGGATGGTGATGAGAGCAGACACACTAGGTAATTTATGGGCGCAGTTTGCTGGGAACCACACCGCTGCCCGAGTCCTGAGAACCGCGTCGTGTACTGCCACCTCGTGGCCGGTTCGGGCGGCTGCGTGGAGACTGGCCTTGTCTCCAGATTTAGGTAATTAGCGGTGGATGTGGGCATCCTTGGAGTCCTGTCTGCTACTTTGCTAACTTGATCCTGTTAAGAAATAAGTCCTAGGTAAGAGAAGGTTGTTTTCTTTTCTTTTTACCATATTTCTTGGGGGGATGTATGTGTGTGTTGGTTTTTGGTCTGGAATTGTGATGAGATTTCAGGGAAGGAGGCTGTGATCCACTTTTTGTTGCCAGGGGATGTTGGGAGGAGAGCGAGGGAGCGTTAAGTGCTGACCTCCTGGCTACCTTCAGGAATCCTAAATTTTCTACTGTCATAATTTCTGTATGTTGTCCAAAGAGCTGCATGTGTCTCTTCACTTGGCTCGCGTCCCTAATGATCCAGTCTTGGGAGACGGGTTCCAGCACGTGTCTCTGCCTCAATCCTGTGACGTGCTAGGATTTACCCTCCGCCACAGCCCCCAAAGAGCACAGGGCAATCGCTTGCCATGTGGATCGATATATTTCCCCTGTTAGGTCACAGAAGCATTTCTCACACAGCTTTCTCTTACCTGTGAAGTCACTGGTACAGAGTAGGATGGATCTGGGTCAGAGGAAGCAGAAGGAATGAAAGATTAAAGGAAGGTATCATTTTGTGTCTCATGTTTTGGGGAGCTGACCACAAAGCATTCAGAGGGTCGGGGTCCGGAGGATCCCTTTGTTTGGGGTCACTGGTATGTGTCAGGCAGTAATTGGCAAGACATCTTGTTCAGTCGCTATTAGGAAGGGAGCCGAAGCTCCGTGAAGGCAGGGGAGGTGTGTGCTGAGAACGGCGGAGGGAAGAGAGCCCCGTTCTGCCCACTTTGGACCAGCGAGGCCGCGCCAGGCGTGTCAGGATTGGCGTGGAGGGCCTGAGCGTCGGGGGGTCTAGGCTTCATCCCAGCAGGAAGGAACGGTTTCTCTTCACCTGGCCAAGAACAGGTGTGCTTAGGGGAGGACCTCAAATCACTGAAATGCTGCCGCAGGGAAGGGCAGTCGGGGGCTCCGGAGGCCCAGGGGCCCGTGGGTGGCGGTCACAGAACGGCGGAGTCGCGTTCAGCGTGAGGAGGAGCTTCTGCTGTCGCCTGGCCCTCGCAGCCTTCCACGCAACCTGCCGAGGGTCGCGCGGGCGCGCACAGGTGGTGCGCACGGAGCAGGGGCCGCGCCAACCCTGTTTGCAAGCTTCCGCAGCCCCGGGAAGTACGTGGTTTTCGGAACGCAGGCGCCAGGAACGTGACCGGTGGTTCGCCAGAGCACGTGTCTGGCCCCCGAGAGCCTGGCGGCCGGGGAGTTTCTGTTCCGGCGCTTCCTGC